GATATATATATATATATATATATATATATATATATATATATATATAGAATATATATATATATATATAGTATATATATATATATAGTATATATATATATATATATAGTATATATATATATATATAGTATATATATATATATATATAGTATATATATATATATATATATATATATATATATATATATAGTATATATATATATATATATATATATATAGTATATATATAGTATATATATATATAGTATATATATATATATAGTATATATATATATATATATATATATATATATATATATATATATATATATATATATATAGTATATATATATAGTATATATATATACACACACGCACACACACCTACACGCACACACACACACACCTACACACACACACACACCTACACACACACACACACCTACACACACACACACACCTACACACACACACACACCTACACACACACACACACCTACACACACACACACACCTACACACACACACACCTACACACACCTACATACACCTACACACACCTACACACACACACACACACACACCTACACACACACACACACACACACACCTACACACACACACACACACACCTACACACACACCTACACACACCTACACACACACACCTACACACACCTACATACACCTACACACACACACCTACACACACCTACATACACCTACACACACCTACACACACACCTACACACACACACACACCTACACACACACCTACACACACACACCTACACACACACACACACACCTACACACACACACACACACACCTACACACACACACACACACACCTACACACACACACACACACACACCTACACACACACACACACCTACACACACACACACCTACACACACCTACACACACCTACACACACCTACACACACACACACACACACACACACACACACACACACACACACCTGCACACACACACACCTACACGCACACACACCTACATGCACACACACCTACACATACACCTATACCTACACACACACATACCTACACACACACACACCTACACACACACACACCTACACGCACACACACCTACACGCACACACACCTACACGCAACCACACCTACACGCACACACACCTACACACACACACACCTACACCACACCTACACACACACACACATATATGTATATATATATATCCCCCCCACCCCCCTCCCCAAATTTGAATTAGCACCAAAAAAAAGAAAGAAGGAAAAGAAACAAGGGTATCTATGCAGTTGTGTTGTGTGGGGTTGTGGGTGCAAGTGTGTTTTTGCATTTACGTTTATCTGAATCCATGAACTTTTAAAGCTAAGAAGACAGAAAGCCAATAATAATAAAAGGAAAGTCCCCCAGACAAGCCTGGGATGCACTGTTTATTTGTTTCACTCACTACTGCACCCCTGACAGGGTTACCAGGGTGGGAATATGTATCCACCTCCCCAGAAGCCTGGTGCCGCTCCCAGTCCTGGCCCCACTGGTCCCAACCCCCCAGCCGGATATAGCACGAGTCCACGCAGACACCCTGACTTTGAAAAGACATCAGGTGAGGAGATGTTATTGCTTAATGAGAGCTGGATTTGTTAAATTTTCTCTCTCTCTCTCTCTTTCTCTTTCTTTCTCATCTGGTGTCCTATTTTTTTTGTATTTCGTTGATAATGAAATTTTGATTGAAATAGAACTACCCTTTTTAGATAGACAGAAGAATGGAAGCCTCCTCTCTTGGCCCATTAGGCTCTCTCTCTCTCCCTCCTTCTCCCTCTCTTATTTTTCATTTAGCGTAATGAAGTGGAACCGTACTAAGACTTTTTCCCCATTCCTCTCTCCGTGCCGCCTCGTCTGAGTAGGATGGCGTGGGAACAGCCAGTATGGAGGCTACACCGGCCAGAACCAGCAGGGTCCCCCTCAGCAGGCGTGGAGTCGCCCCAATGACTCTGCGCCGCCTGGAGCTCCAACCTCACAGTGGAGTCAGCCACGGTTTCCTGGGCCACAAGGGCAGTTCCAGAATGCTGTTAGTGCTGTAAGTTTGGTTTCAGTGCAGGTAGATTTCGGAGAAAGTAGTCTGCACACAATTAAAATGAATTGAGGGTTCCATTATCAATGATTTTCACATCTTCACTGTTAGATTACATTGGGACAACACAAGTGTATTTTCTTCACCTTCTTTATCTTTTCCTTATTTTCTTTAATCCATCTTCATTTTTATTTAGGGACGAGGGTGGTCAGGTGGATCCTACACCCAAAATGTAGGGCCCAGACCTCAGGGTCCTCCCACCAATAAGAACTATCTTGTTCCACCACCCTCTTCATTTAAGGTATGTTGGTTTGCCCTCTGTTTTTATATAATGTTGCTTCCTTTTTTGTGGATATTATTATTTATTGGTTTATTTTGATTGTGAAGTAAAACTTTGGTGATCCCAAATTTAGTATCAGTTATTTTGCATCTGGGGCTTTCACATTCCCCATATACTGAGAGGAATGGATGTTCCACCTTTGCAAAGGTAACTAATTTTGACCATTTATTTCTGTTTATTCAGTGTGGGGGCAGCATGTATGGTGTTTACACTGGCAAACATCAGTTCCCCCTGGATAGTGTTGAGGCGGTGCTGCCGGTGCTGGCACGAAGGAAGCGCATGACCCGCTCTGATCTTCCTACTCTTGACCCCTGGAGGCTACTCATGTCCTTGCGGTGAGCTGTGAACCTTTCTCTCTCATTTCTTTTGTTATTGTTTTTACCATTACTACTATTGTTTTTGCATATATTTTTAAGATGGAGTTCTTGCCTTTCTCTTTATTAATATTGTTGTGATCATTCAGAATTAAGGTTATGTTTTTAAAACAATTTCTGTGTTATTGCAGGTGTGGTCTGGCTGCTGAAGTGACATGGGCCCTAGATGTCTTGAACATTCTCCTGTTTGATGACCAAACGGTAGTTTACTTTGGCCTACACCATATGCCAGGACTCCTGGAGGCCCTCATTGAACACCTCAGAAGGGGCCTTATCAACATGTTTGACATCTGTTCAGAACTGGAGCTTGGCAGTGATGAGAAGGCCACGGGAGCTAACAAGAGGGTCAAGGTGAATTGCATTTTGAGCTTATTTCTCTGCTTTGTTCTTGATATGCAATATTTCTTGTCTTTAAACCATGTATATACAGAAGCTCGCTCACTCACTCACTCACTCACTCACTCTCACACATTCACTGTGTGTGTGTGCTGTAGAATATATGATATATATGTGTATATATATAATATGATCTATAATTTATATATCTATATATACAAATCATAACTATAATGTATATATTTATGTATGTGTAGCCACTTAGTATACTCAAGTTCTGCAAAGTTTCCAAGCATTTAAAACCATGACTTATCCACAGGCCATGCAGCATGATGACTCAGACAGACCCTGGTACTTGCGGCCACCACCATCGCCCACCCTCGAGCTGGACCTGGGCAAGTTGGAGGATCATGACCTGCAGAACAAGGAGGAGATCTTAAAGGGGGCCGAGGACTTCACCTTGGTCACCAAGACGGGCAAGACGGTCAAGTTCGTGAAGCGGGATGGCGAGCTGTTCATGCGTGAAGGCAGCCGTGAGTGGGACAAGTGGGAGGGCTTCAGCTCGGGCGTGGACACCTGGTCGGTGGGTGGAGGCGAGTGCACTGCCCACATCATCTGCAGCATGCAGAGCTCGGTGCCCCCCCTGCCCTTCACTCGCCTCATGCCCTGCAAGGATGGCAGGATTGAGGAGATGTCCCTTAAGAAGGAGAAGCTGATAGAGGTCAAGGAGGAGGTGGAAATTAAGAAGGAAGTGGTAGTGGAAGTGAAAAAAGAGGAAAAGAGTAAGAAGGAGAAAGTGGTGGATGTGTTGGCAGAATTAAAGGAAAAGAAGGTGGAGAAGATGGAGGACCTTATTTCTAGAGAAAAGTGTGACAACTCCAAAGATACTGAGTCAACAGACAAACTTTTCAGTCAAAGGATAAATAGAGTTAATAATGCAAGGAAGAGCAAACTAGACGAAATATTTAAGAAGTTAAAGAAGGAACCAATGGAGGACCATAGTGACAATAAGAAAAGGGAGACGAAGGAAGTGTGTGTGTTGAAAAAGGACAATGAAGTGCATGTAGACAGTAGTGTTGTGGTGAAACAGGAACCAAGTAGTGATAAGTTAACTGAGAGAAAACAAGAGGAAGTATCTCAAAATAAGCCAGAATCTAAAGAAAAATTAGAAAGGCGTGAAAGCAGTGGCTCCAAGAGGGAAAGTGGAGGATTCAAAAGACCTCATGAGGATCTAGAGGAGGAATCATGGAGTCCAGATGAAGCTTCGTTAAGCACAACTACTGAAGGTCAGGACTGGTTAGGTCGACGTGTCATGTGCGTGGGTACTGTGATCCGGAATCTGTCCTTTATTCCAGGAAATGAAGAAGTGATGAGCAAATGCGCATCTCTGCTAGCCTTACTTGGCAAGACAATCCTGCTGCACCATGAGCACCCCAAACGCACCCCCTCCACGGCGCATTATGACCGTGACGAGGAGGCGGACCTGAGCGACTGGTGCAGCTCCCTGGCTCCGGACACGCACTGGTGGTGGCCCTACCTCCACCATGTGCATGAGAACACGCTGGTCACCCTGGCCAACATGGCAGGCTCTCTTGATTTGTCAATTTACCCAGAAGAGATCTCACGGCCCTTGTTAAATGGCCTCCTACACTGGGCCACCTGTTCTGCCTCGTACGGTCAGGATCCCTTCCCAGGTGGTGGAACATCTCTTCAGTCTGCGTTGTCACCTCAGCGTCTCGCCCTGGAGGCCCTTGTTAAGCTCTGTGTGCTGGACCAGAACACAGACTTAGTTCTAGCTACACCACCTTTTACACGGTTAGACAGCCTGTGTGGCCAGCTGACACGCTTCATGTGCCGCGGGGAGGACCAGGTCCTGCGTGAGTTCTCCATCAACCTCCTCCACTATTTCTCAGCTGCAGACTCTGGTGTGGCTAGAGTCATAGCCATGCAGAATGGGTGTGTCTCTCTCCTTGTGGCTTTCATTGAGGAGGCAGAGGCTGCGGCGATGAATGTGGCTAATGTTCAGGGTGTGAGTGCCCTCAAGGAGAACCCTGAGCTGATGGGGACGAGCCTGGACATGGTGCGGCGGGCTGCTAACACACTGGTGCACCTTTCGCGAGTGCCAGCTAATGCTCGGGTTTTAGCTAATTGTGAAAACAGACTATTGACATTGGTCATGAGCCAGATACTTGATACCTATGTTGCATCTCAGTTGTCACAGGTGTTATTTAATGTAGCCCAAGTGCAAAATGAATTTCCCCAATTATCACCTTGCCCTTCACCACCATCATCACCCCCACCAACTACAGCACAAGCCTCAGAGTTAACCAAAACTCCAGATGCACCAATGGATGTGGACTCATCACCATTAGATGCACCCAGCCAACCCACTTCTATTACCACAGCCGTAAAACTGGTCAATCATGACTCCATTTTGACTGAGTATGATAAGACCAATGCTGCATCCCCCAATCCTGCTTCTGCTCCTTCTCCTAACCCTATTTCAGCCCCTAACGCCACACCTGTGCCCACTCCAGCCCCTGCCCCTGTCCCAGCCGTTACTCCATCTCCAGTTCCTGCCTCAGCCTCTACCCCATCAACCCCAGCCTCTGGCCCAGCTGTAACACCTGCTACAGCCTCTGCTCCTGCCCCTGCCCTTGCCCCTACCACAGCCCCAGCTCCTGCCTCTGCCCCAGCCCCTGCTCCTGCTACTCCTGCACCTGCCTCTGCCTCTGCCCCTGCCCCAGCCCCTGCGGTGACTCCTGCCATTGCACCCACCCCCACTCCAACCCCCGCTGCTTCCCTCGCTCCTGCACCCACCCACACCCCAGCCTCGGCTCCATTCTCACCACTTCCGTCGGCCCCCGCTGCGACTCCTGCACCAGTACCTACAGCTGTACCAAGTCTAGGTAAAGTCCCAACTCCTAATTTAACCCCTGCCCCCATCTCTGCAAACAGCCCTGTATTTAACCCACAAAAAATGCCCATGAAGCCCAGCAATCCCCCCACCCAAACCACAAACTCCGAGTCATCTACAAAGTGCGAGTCCCTGGCAGCGGCGGCGGCCCCGGTCCCCATGGAAGCGTCAGCAGCAAGTCCCTCATCTTAGTAGCGGGTGGGTGAACCCAGTGAGCGTGTAGGCCTCTCTCAGCCATGTGTGGTACAAACTGTGTGGTGGGGGTGACACTATGCCCCCTAGGGTCCCCCCCGGTCCCAGGGCCCCCCCTAGTGTCTCAGCAGGGCCCTTGCAAGGACCACCTCAGTGATATTGAGTCCTACCAGGCATTAGGGCTCTCAGTGTTGTGTACAGTAACTAAAATAAGATGTGTGTCCTGCTGTAAGCAGTGTCTGTGAATTATTCTAAAGTGCGAGTGTAGCCAGCAACAAGTCTGTGAAAGTCTGTGTATTTGTACTTTTCAATGTACAGAAGTCTGTACTCATCTCAGCTGTATTTCTTGGATTTAAAGAAAGTTGTAGAAAGAAAGTATTCAGAGAAACAGTGTTTCTTTAACCTTGTTCTTGAATATACATTTTTGTTCTATCAGTTCTGGTATGACACTTGTAAATCCAGATTTAAGATTCCTTTCATTTGTTTATAGGATGGAGTTGATGCCAAACATTTTTGTCTAAAATTGTAAGGTTCTGGCTGACAATTGGATTTGCCATTGGCTTTTTAATTTTATTTAACAAAAAAATGTTGATATGAAAGGAGTACAGTATTATTCACATGAACATTGACTTTCACTCTGTTTTATTCTATTTAAAGAAGGAACTTAGAAGGCTGTATAAAAACAAAACAGTGTATGTCATTGTATATAGTCAAATAGTTTGAAAAAAGATACTTCAGGAGAGGTCATTCCTTGTTTATATAAATTTTCCAGTATGGGAAAATTATAGAGAAGAAAATACTGATCTAATATATGGGATTCAAGATTGCTGAATCCCTCACCACCACCAAAATCAGAAAATCAAATCAATTTATGTTGTTTTGAAATACTGGTGAGAGGAACAAAAAGTTACTGAAGTTTTTAGACAATATTTTCCTCAAGTTTAAACAAATTGTAATTGTTTTTTTATTTAATAAAGATGAAAACGAAACTTACCTAGCTCTTTATTGGCAAATGAATTTTATGTGAATACCATTATGTAGACCAGATTGGAATTTGTCTTTTCTATCTTAGTTTCAACTTGTGAATTAAGTCTGTGTTTTCTCTGCAGGGCAGACCTGGAACTTGCTACCTTGAGATGCTTTGTACCTTTACAGAAACAGGTTTTGCATGTATGATAAATACTGATAGTGTGACTAGCAGATGTGCCAGAATTAGAGGTCTGAGAAGGAGGATTGTTTTATATTAAATCTGTGATCAGGATATTAGCAGACGGTAGTCCCCCTCGCTTCTCCCTCCTCCTTCCTCAATCCTCTCTCTCCATTCCACTCAGAGCATCCCTTCCTTTCCATCTTCTAATTGTAAAGCAATAGGAAAATGTAGTAGAATAATGTAGAGAACAAATAAGATTGAATATCCAGTTTCGTAGCAAAAAGTTAACTAACAAAGAAAATTAATAATTTCCTAATGCAGAGGCTATAATTGACGCATTTCAGTTTTCTTCATTAGCCTTATATCCCCCTTGCCCATTGTGGCAGGGGGTTTAGGAGGCAATCTTTTTTTTTCCTTCTTCACCTTTTGGTTTCTTTTTTTGTCTAACTACTATCCTATTCCATGAGTAGGGTGTCCTCTTTTAGTCGTCTGTCCCTTACTCCTGAAGGGGATCTTGAAGGGTGAGCTGAATCTCTCCCCATCATACTCCAGACTTACCATGGCCAGCAATGAAGATTTGTACCCCAGTTAGGGGCAGTTTGGCTCGCCCCTTTATCAAATATGCCCACTGACTTGACCACGACTCTGAACACTTCTACTACTACCCCCTCAACGCCTGCGATCACCTCAGTCCCGTCTAGATCATCCACCCGGGTCGTAACTCAACCTCTAGAAAACATTCCTCCTCTCCCAGCATCCTCTACTTTATCTCTTCCATCCTCTCGGCTTTCTTCATTTATGCCCCCTTCTTCCGTATTACTACTTTGCAGCCTTATTATCCATCTCCCCATTACTACCTCTCTCAACAGTAATCACACTTGTACACGTCCCCATCCATCTACTATCTCTATAAACGTTTTGAATACTATTTAGTCCACCAAATGTAATCGATTTTTCATGATCCTCTCTACAGCCCTTTACTCTGAAAACACTCCAAAAATAAGTAGGCAGAATTTCCTTCCCGCCTTGTCACAGTCACATCCGAACCCCAAGCAAAGGTATTATCAACCCTAACTGACTTCACTGGCAAACGTATTTCTGCCCAGCCCCGTCCATCCTTCAATACTTGTACCGGAAGTGTCTTCATCTACCTCATAAACTGCCCTGTCGAGGACAAGGATTGGGCAGATTTTGGAGACTTACTCGCCTGCCTCGTGGACTAAGATTCAGTATCACTACCAAGCTACACCATTCCCCCTAGAGGCCGTCGGAAGATCCCAACCAATATTGCCAAGATTACTTTCGTAGACATGACTTCCCCCTTAACTTTACATGGGCGGAGGATCCCTCTCTGTCCGACCATATTAGCCCGCTCGCCCAGTGATGTGAAAATTGCTGGCTTCTAGGCCAAACTGCCGCTCCACAGCCCGATCCTCTCTTTGGGCCCAACCTGGTCACAATTGATCAAACTGCTCTCTACTGTCACGCACGTTTGCCAATTGTGGCGACTCCCATAATGTATTTTATAAAGTATGTTTTGCTTACAAGTTTGAATCTGTAATGGCAACTCTCGGATTCAGTTTTGGCCTCAATCTACGCGATGCCAGATAGGAAGCACGTTAGCAACATTTTTCTCTTCTCCTCTACTCCAGTGATGTTCACTCTGCCCCTCCCCCTTCCTCCCAAGATGGCTCTATATCCCCCCTGTACCTATCCCCTCTCCATCTTTCATTCCCACTTCAACCCCCTACCTCTTCCAGTGATATTCTTTTGCCATTCTATCTCTAGCACATTTATCTTGCTTTTTAACCATTAACCATTGCCATTCTATCCAGACACTCCAATTTCTACCACTGCCCTGACACCTCTCCCTCCACGCTCTAACTGTTGCGGCCAATCTAAACATGCCATCCCTTCTACCACACCCTCTACTACTCGTAAGAGATCGACATGGAAACCCTTCATCCATCCTCCAGTCTCACTACTCCCACTCCATTTACACTCAAAGTGTCGCCGATACCTATCCTCCTCTTAGTCATTGTTTCCTTTTTCCCAGCGCCAACCACCTTTCCTCACTCTTTGGGTGATTCTACCTAATTATTCTTAATTCAGTTCAGCCCCACACTTTCTACTCGTTTTCATGCCTTGGGCTCTCTCTATGTTCCCCTTCTCTCCGTTTAGACTTCCATTGGTCAGTTCTAGACTACTTTCCCTTTCCACTTTCCATGTTGGGACTCTGATTGCACCGATGCCCTTCGGTTGAAATGCACATCCTGGAACAGTCATTGCTACACGCAAGGCACCCCTAGTCAGCTATCGGCACTTATCTCTTTGAAGAGAGCATCTGCCTGTCTTTGCCGCACAAACCAGAACGGCAAAACAATTAGCTGGCAAAATTGTTTCCTTGACTACGTCTACATCTATTACAGCTGCCTGGCGTCGGATCCATAATCTGTCAGGCAAATATCCTCCCATCCTTCATGTTCGAGATACTTTCATCTCTGATCTTCGAATCGCTTGTGAACTAGGCGATGTTTCAGCTAGATCAGTAATGGCAATCGTCTTTCTTCATTAAGACCACCAGAAAATGCACTCCTATCTCATTATCGCTGTCCACTAATGAGTCCTATAATGCGCATTTTTCTTCCTTTTTACTTCGTGCTGCCTTGCAGTTGTGTCGCATCATCCATCTTCCTCTCTATTCTTCCTGTTAACTAATTTCAACCACAATTGGACAAGAAATTTTCCTCACTGGCGTGAAGCCCTTATTCTACCGTCCTTGAAAGCCAATACCGCCCCATCATTCTAACTAGCTGCTTGTGGAAATTACTAGAATGAATGGTCAGCTTCTGTCTAATGCGATATCTTGAATCATACAATCTTCTCTCTCCTTCCCAGCACACTGAACCCCTTGCTCTTTCGAGACATTTGTTGCATCTGCATTTACATGACATGACTGTATTACCCATACAATTTGACCTAGAAAAAGCATATACCACCTGACGGTACCATATTCTCCAACAATAGTTCTCTCTAGAGTACATGGAAACATGGGAGCCTTTATAAAGTCCCTTTATAAAGCATTTTCCAGGTCAAAGTGGCCTCTTGCACATCATCTTTTCATGGCAGTGAGTTCAAAACCACCTTATTCCTAGCTGTTAATGGCCTTGTTTCAGTTCTATTGCCGGGAGCCCGGTCATTACCTGTCCATACCTACTCTCTGCCAACTCCTTCCGTCTGCAATATCATCATCTTCTTGGGCCACTAATTACGGCCTTTGCTTTTCTTCACCAAATCCTCCTCCATCTTTTCTCTCGTGCACGTGTAGGTCCCAACCTCCACTCTTCTTATATAGTACTCCGCTCCCAAGACATTCATCTGGTAAGTTCCTAGGCATTACTTTAACTTCAAACTGTCCTGGCGAAACCATGTCTTTTCATAAGAGAAAAACCTTGCCGCCGCCTCCGAATCTTATAGGCTCCCATAAATCCTGGGGTTCAGACCTCATAACTCTCCTCCATCTTCATGTTACTTTGATCCTCTTGATTATAGATGCCATATTTACGCTTCTGCCTCTACCTCCTTTCTTGCTTATTTTGATACAATCCAGCATTGTGGTCGTCACTTATCCCATGGCGTCTTCTGCCAAGTTGAGAGCCTGTACGCTAAGATATGCAATTTCTCTCGACGCCGGGCCATTCTCTCTCTCCTATGCTTTGCCCACTTTCACCAATTTTCCCTCACCAAACTACTCTCCTATCTCAGCTCCATACCTTATAACCATATTGACTCCTCCATTTTCCATGATCCACCCTTCTGCCCTTCTCACTCATTCCCCTGACCATGTCTCCACTCACTCCTCTTGTGTCCATGTTTACACCGATGGCCCAGTCCACCTCCGGTGCTGGTTTCGCAGTAGTATTCCCATCTCGCACATTCAAATACCCTTCCCTCCTGTGTCCAGTGTCCGTTCTTCAGAACTACAAACACTCCTTTTCATCTTAAAACACTTCTACTCTCTCCCTTCCTCCTCTTTCACTATTTATACTCGACTATCCCCGATTCAGGACTAGTTGCTCTATTCATCTATGCTCCACAAATCTGTCAGGTTTTTCTGGGTGCCCAACCATGACAGTCCTCGGCAGTGAACAGAGATGTCCATACCAGAGCAACCCCGTTTCTCACATATTCTAGCCGTGGATCATTATCCGCACTTAAGACCTTCCTTTATACCCGATGGTAATCTTTCTGGTCAAGTCTTCTTACCAATAAACTATATACTGTAAAACCACCAGAACAGACACTGGGAGATGGCTCTTGCCTGCTTATGCACTCCTATTTAATGTCATGTTCTGATCTGCTCTCTCAGTTCCACACATTCTGCTGCCCTGGCCTGACCGCTTGCCTATTCCTACCCTAACCCATTCACTCATCCTCTTCACCTTTATCCTTTCCAATACCATCCTTCTGCTGTACGGATGTTGACGTATTAACTTGACACTCCTCTCTACCCTTAACTATACTATACCTTCCTGTAGTGCTACATGACCTTTGATGTCGAGCACATTTATTTTGCTTTTTAACCTTTAACCATTAGCCACTACTACACCATTCTATAGTGCCTTTGATGTCTAGCATATTAATTTTGCCTTGTAACCATTAACCATTAGCCTTGTGTTCTGTAGCGCGTGCATCTTGGCTAATATAGGCTTATTATTTTCTTTGTTTAGATTGGGAAAATGATAATCCTGTGCCAGGGGTGGACACTAAAATGCAACAGTGCTATAAATTGTAGATTTTCAGCCAGCGTCAGCTCTGTCATTCACTATGAACCGCAGTGCAC